ACTCCCACACCTCCCGTGACTGCCACACACGTGCATTCTCATGTCTCCAGTGACCATCACTTCCCCCACTTTGTGCTCTCCTACGCCTCCACTGACCCGCCTTGTGCACTCCTACCCCTCCACTGACCCGCCTTGTGCACTCCTACCCCTCCACTGACCCGCCTTGTGCACTCCTACCCCTCCACTGACCCGCCCTTGTGCACTCCTACCCCTCCACTGACCCGCCTTGTGCACTCCTACGCCTCCACTGACCCGCCTTGTGCACTCCTACCCCTCCACTGACCCCGCCTTGTGCACTCCTACCCCTCCACTGACCCGCCTTGTGCACTCCTACGCCTCCACTGACCCGCCTTGTGCACTCCTACCCCTCCACTGACCCGCCTTGTGCACTCCTACCCCTCCACTGACCCGCCTTGTGCACTCCTACCCTCCACTGACCCGCCTTGTGCACTCCTACCCCTCCACTGACCCGCCTTGTGCACTCCTACGCCTCCACTGACCCGCCTTGTGCACTCCTATACGCCTCCACTGACCCGCCTTGTGCACTCCTACGCCTCCACTGACCCGCCTTGTGCACTCCTACGCCTCCACTGACCCGCCTTGTGCACTACTCCTACGCCTCCACTGACCCGCCTTGTGCACTCCTACGCCTCCACTGACCCGCCTTGTGCACTCCTACGCCTCCACTGACCCGCCTTGTGCACTCCTACGCCTCCACTGACCCGCCTTGTGCACTCCTACGCCTCCACTGACCCGCCTTGTGCACTCTACGTGCACTGACCCGCCTTGTGCACTCCTACGCCTCCACTGACCCGCCTTGTGCACTCCTACGCCTCCACTGACCCGCCTTGTGCACTCCTACGCCTCCACTGACCCGCCTTGTGCACTCCTACGCCTCCACTGACCCGCCTTGTGCACTCCTACGCCTCCACTGACCCGCCTTGTGCACTCCTACGCCTCCACTGACCCGCCTTGTGCACTCCTACGCCTCCACTGACCCGCCTTGTGCACTCCTACCCCTCCACTGACCCGCCTTGTGCACTCCTACGCCTCCACTGACCCGCCAGATGTGCACTCCTACGCCTCCACTGACCCGCCTTGTGCACACTCTACGCCTCCACCTGACCCGCCTTGTGCACTCCTACGCCTCCACTGACCCGCCTTGTGCACTCCTACGCCTCCACTGACCCGCCTTGTGCACTCCTACGCCTCCACTGACCCCCCTCCTACGCCTCCACTGTGTGCACTCCTATACCTCCAGTGACCAATCCTCTTTCCCCACACTTCCATGCTCCAAGTGCATTGTTTCGTTCTCACACCTCCAGGTACATTCCTGTAATCACCCGGACTCTATAGACCCGTGTTTGTGACAGTGCAGCCTTATCAGTAATATCGCGCAGGATCAGAACAGGTCAGTAGCTAGGCAGGATTAGATTACACATACTGATGCCCTGAACTGCTTACCGCGGCCCATAGTGTATTTACTGCGGGTGGGCGGCTCTGCCAGGTTGGATCATGTACATCTCCAGCTTCTTCTGGGTTTGGGGCGCGCCCATGCATGCACCCCCTGCTGACCCGCGCTGTCCCTGGCTACAGCAGGATTTTGTCAGTAGGTCCCGACCAATGATTTTGGCCATGGACCTGCTGAAGGGTGGTGGCCAATCACAGCACAGAGTCAGGGCTCTGTACACAGAGCAGCAATCTGGCCATTTTCCCCCCTGCAAAGCACAAAGGAAAAAAAACTTCCAAATTTGTAAATAAAAGCAGCACGACACATTATTAGGCAGTTAACCCCTTAATGTTAACCCCTTCCCAGCCAGTGTCATTAATACAGAGTACAGTAATATATCTGATCACTGTATTAGTGTCGCTATTAATGTCAGTGGCAGCCAGTTAGTGTCTGTTAGCGCCAGATTGCCCACCACACTATCACAGTCCCACTAAAAGTTGCTAATCACCGCCATTACTAGTATAGGGTCTGTAGCTGCATAAATCCCATAATACCTTTCACACAAACCAATCTATATACACTTAGTGGGATTTTTTTTTCACCGAACACATGTAGCAGAATACATTTGGCCTAAATTTATGAAGAAATTTTTTTTTTGGATATGTTGTGTAACAGAAAGTAGAAAATCTCTTTTTTTTTTAATTTTCAGTCATTTTTTTATGTAATTAAAAAAGCAAAACAAAACAAAAAAAAAAAAACAAAAACAGTGATGATCAAATACTACCAAAAGAAAGCTCTATTGTGATGAAAATAAATGCTATAAAAATTTCATTTGGGTGTACTGTTGCATGACTTCACAATTACCAGTTAAAGTAGCACAGTGCTGAATAGCAAACAAATGGCCTGGTCATGAAGGGGGTAAAACTTTTGGGAGGTCAAGTGGCTATATTTGGACTGCACAGCTCAGTTTTCAGTTACCTTTGGTCATGAAAGGGTTATACTATCTGAATTTCCATCGACAAAGATAGAACGCACCTCACTGGGCACACACATTCATACACAGCCTCTGGAACCCTGAAGGATCTGTGAAGATTGTCCAGGATTGTCCTCGGGTGTCCAGGAAGACGAATGAGGACACCGGCATTTTGTCCTTAAACCAACGAAGGTATTAAAAAGGTCAGTATAGGTCTATTTGCCCCATCTAGCTGTAAAACATAAAAAAGGAGAGAAGCAGCGCCATCTAAGTGCAGCAATCAAAACAAAATTTATTTCCACAAAATCGGCAACTCCCAATAGTAGTAGTCAAATGAGCGCTTGTCAGACTGGTGTCACCCGCTGTGCAACTCCTGTCTGGTCCCGCTGCAGGCAGATCTCCAATACACTGTCCTTGGCTGTGCCGGTGGCTCCCAGCACTCCTGGTTGGCGTTGGCCGGTGATGTCAGCTCTGGGTACAGCAGCAATAGGCGTGGAACACGTTTCGGAGCATGCATGTTCCTTCATCAGGCCATAGAGGTGGCATGTATTGGTAAATGATCGTGGTGGACTATAATCCAGCCAATTCATGGAGAGACCGAAGGCTTCGCGAGTTGGCTTGCCGCTATAGTCCGCCACTATCATTTGCCAATATATGCCCCCTCTATGGCCTGATGAAGGAGCATGCGTGCTCCAAACACGTGCCACGCCCACTGTACCTGGAGCGGACATCACTCCAGCCCACCGTGTGGACCCACACCAACCAGGAAGTGCTGGGAGCCACCGGCACAGCCAAAGACAGTGCATTGGAGACCAGCCTGCAGCGGGAACGGACAGGAGTTGCACAGCGGTTGACACCAGATTAACAAGCCCTCATTTGACTGCTACTATTGTGAGTTGCCATTTTGTGGAAATAAATGATTTGTTTTTATGTTTTATTGCTGCACTTAGATGGCGCTGCTTCTTTCTTTTTTTTGTTCATATAGTCACTATTAGCTCTTTTTTGAATCGGCTGCCACTGAATCAAGCATTGTTGGATTATCCCTTAACCAGCTTTAGGACTTTAAGGACTTTACCTGTTTGTTTCATATACTAGCCATCACATTCTACATCTGGTCTTTTTCCTCTTATTGCACCAAATATCTCTCTTGTTCTAGCTGTAAAACAAACTTTAGTTCCTGTGTTTTTGCTCTAAACACTTACATTTGCTTTTTCTGGAAGACCTCTGCACTGTGTCCCTTCTCTGTCGCGCTTCCCTGAACTTCCAGTTGGGAGCACACACTGAGCAAATCAGAGATTACACATGTGATCGAATGTATCGGGACTACATGTCCCATTATTGCCCACAAAGCCCACCACCAGAGTATGGTACCATGCAACAAGTGAAGATGCAGTCTCGGCTGGGAGCGCACAAGTCAGGGTGGCTTCATGGGGCCTCCGGTGAGACCCTCCAAGGAACGGCAGACACCCTACAAGCAGAATGTAAACACACCAAACTTCCACTTTAACTTTGCATACATAAAAGGGACAGGAAACAATGATGTAAGGTATGCTGCTACGGTTTATGGAGGGTGTAGCCTCCCTAGCGGTCTGATTATGTCCATATTTCTGTGCTCAAAGCGGTACTTTGTTTTGCATGGAAATATGTCTTTTTTTATTGTAATCCTGTAATTTTTAGGAATAACTCACTGAAATCTGTCCGAACAAGAGTCTAGTAAACATCCCGGGGATGATAAAATTTGAAAAAACGAAATCATAAATTATAATTTAATAAATAATCATAAAAAATAATAATATGATAATAAATGTAATTCAATAATATAATCAAACCAAAAACACTGAAATGTGAAATAGAGCGCCAAGTTCGCACATCGCTGAGCAAAGTCGCAGAATCGTTTTCAGTGTCTGATGAGGAATTTCCCCCACCAATCATTATCACTCAATTCTGCAAGTGGTTCTGATTTACTATCGCTGTTCTCTAGCCGGTCTAAAACCGCGTCTGACCTAAAGGGACGCTTTTTGGACGCCATGGACGTTTCTCAGTTTCCAGGCAGAAAGAACAGTAAAAATGCAGGCAGGGCGCCGGACAAAGCACTCGGGACAAACATGTATGTGAAATGGTTTGATACAGGAATGGAATACTATCAGATTTTAGTGTATTTAGTGAATGTCACTTTTTCACATTTTTAAATTTCCCGCCAGTTCCGTCCCCCGTACGTCCCGACGTCGCAGGGAACGGAACCCGGAAGACAGATGCCGGCATCGGCCGGAGGATATTGCCAGGGACACTGCAGGGGGGACATCGCGGGAGCGCAGGACAAGGTAAGTGCAGAAGAGATCCGGGAGTAACGTTGCAGTGTATTCCCGAGTGTAGCTCGGGGGGGTTACCGCTTGTGGTGCTGAAAACTTTACCCCGAGCTACACTCTGGAATACCGCCAGGGGGGTTAACAACACCTTGAATTCGGGTCACAAAGTATCACAGCAGCTGCAAACAAACAAGCAATCCATAGTAACGGATATACTGTCTCTGATCCCTCGAGGAATACAAAGACAGAAGGTAATACCCAGCCGGGGAACTTACCTGCAGACTCGCGCGGGGAAGTAGAGTTTCTGCCAGGAGCGACAAAAGAAATGTGAATGATCGATGACTCGGATCCAGTCCAGTTCATCCATGGAGACCTCGATGTGGTAGGAGTACGACCTGCACCCAACAGTCAGAGAAGAAGAACTGAAATCAGACTCAGTACATCGGAAGGGCCATCCTTAAATTATTTAAAGCAGACTTTAATCGATCGCCTCATTAAGGATCCCAGAAGAATTCAGTGTCCACGCCGCTTTAAAATGGTTGTAAACCTCAGACATGAAACATGAACAAAGCATATCCCTCTATAGTGTGAGATTAACTAGGATTGAATTGGTATTGCTGAATCTTGGCTTCATTCCTCACATGACTGGGCCATTCATATTCCTGGCTAGGTTCTCTTTCGGAGAGACGGGGGAAATAGGAAAGGTGGAGGTGTCTGTCTCTATGTGAGAAGTGATCTCAGAGCGAGTGTGAAAGAGGACCTAGTTGATGGAGAGTGTGATGAGGCTGAAGTATTATGGGTGGTGAAACTGCACATGGGGGGTGGTACTACAAAGGTAATCATTGGAGTTTGTTATAGGCCTCCCAGTGTTAATGAGGAGGTGGAGACTCAGCTCCTCCCACAGATTGAAAGGGATGGGACAATGATATTAATGGGGGATTTTAACTACCCGAAATTGACTGGAGTAATGGTACTGCAGGAACAGTTAAAGGGCAAAAAATATTAAACCTACTACAGGACAATTTTATGGTACAGTTCATAGAGGCCCCAACTAGGAATGATGCTCTGCTGGACCTGGTAACCTCAAACCATGCAGAGCTTATTACGAATGTCCATATAAAAGAACATCTAGGTAGTAGTGACCATAACATGATTTCATTTATTGTTAGTTGTAAACAGCGAGCACATACGGGGAAAATAAAAACGCTCAACTTTAGGAGAGCTAATTTTCCAAGGCTCAGAGCTGCTCTTCAAGACTTAGAATGGGAGGGAATATGATTTAATTGGTATTGCTGAATCTTGGCTTCATTCTTCGCATGACTGGGCCATTCGTATTCCTGGCTAGGTTCTCTTTCGGAGAGACGGGGAAATAGGAAAGGTGGTGGTGTCTGTCTCTATGTGAGAAGTGATCTCAGAGCGAGTGTGAAAGAGGACCTAGTTGATGGAGAGTGTGATGAGGCTGAAGTATTATGGGTGGAACTGCACACAAAGGTGCATACTACAAGTACTCCCAGAGTTTTTGGCAGAAGCACTAGAAGCACCAGCCAAAAACGGACCACCTCTCCACCTGCCGGAAGTGTCCCACTTTTAGGCTCCGTTTGCACTTGTGCGACTTGTCATGTGACTTTGGACGTTACATTGTGCACAATAAGTCGCAGCCCATTCTTTTCAAAGGCACCTGTTCAATTCGGTGCAACGGAAAGTCTGCACTGCTTTAACCACATTCTAGCCACTGTAGAAATACGTTGGCAGGGCGGCACGGCTGGGCAAAACCACGTTTTAAAACCGTGTGTTTGCAAAACAGGTAGGGGGAGCGCGCAAGGCGCGCCACCGCCCTACCTGTCCCGCCGATCACGGCCGCGGATGTCAGTCCCCGGGTCACAGCTGGTCGTTACCGGCTGTGTCCCACCGATTAGCGGCAATCACTGACAGAGAGCAGGGCTGCAGTAGCTCTGCTTTCTGTCAGTTCCCTGTCAGCTCCCGATCAGCTGTCCCCTGCTCCCTAGTGAAACACTCCCCTCACACAGTTAACCCTTTCAGTAAATAAAAAAGTTAACCCCTTCCTCCCCAGTGCCATTAGTACAGTGTCAGTAGTTTTTTTTTGCACTGATCACTGTATTGGTGTCACTGGGGATGTCAGTGACTCCAAGTCAGTTCCCCCCCAGTGTCAGAATGTCCGCCACAGTCCCGCCATAAGTCGCTGATCGCCGCCATTATTAGTGTAAAAAAATTAAAAATCCCAGTATCTTTCCCGCCATTTGTAAACGCTATAACTTTCACGTAAACCAATTAATTTACACGTATTGGGTTTTTTTTTTTTTTTTAGCAAAGACATGTCGCAGAATGCATTTTGGCCGAAATTTATGACGAAATTTGATTTTTAAATTTTTTTTACTGGACATGTTTTATAGCAAAAAGTCCAAAATATTGTTTTTTTTTTTTCTCAAAATTGTCAGTCTTTTTTTAAAATAAAATAAAAAACCGCACAGGCGATCAAATACCACCGAAAAGGAAAGCTCTATTTGTGTGAACAAAAGGCCATAAATTTCATTTATGTACCGTATTGCATGACTGCGCAATTGTCCATTAAACTAGCGCAGCGCTGTATAGCAAAAAAATGGTGTAAACTCCATTATCTATACCATAGTTTGTAGACACTATAACTGTCACACAAAGCAATCAATATACACTTATTGGGATTTTTGTTACCAAAAACATGGAACAGAATACATTTTGGCCTAAATTTATAACCAACTTTGAGTTTACTATATATTTTTTTATAGCTGAAAGTAAAAATATTGTTTTTACTTCAAAATTTTTGGTCTTTTTTTGTTTATAGCGTGAAAAATAAAAAGCGCACAGGTGATCAAATACCACCGAAATAAAGCTCTATTTGTGTGAAAAAAAGGACGTAAATTTCGTTTGGGTGCAGCATTGCATGACCGCGCAATTATCAGTTGAATTAATGCAGCGCCGAGTAGCAAAAAGAGGCGTGGTCATTAAGGGGGGTAAATCCTCAGGAGGGGGAGGGGTTAATGTGAATCAGATCCATAGAGTGGTAAAGTCGGGTCAAAGACGTTCTACAAAGTCACACGGGAAATTGTGCAGCTTTGGAGTCAGCTGGTGTGAACCGAGCCTTAACCACAGCAATACCGGGCACTGTCACCCCCTTCCTGCCCAGGACAATTTTCAGCTTTCAAAGCTGTTGCACTTTGAATGACAATTGTACGGTCATGCAACACTGTACCCATATGACATTTTTATGGTGGTATTTAATCCCCACTGGAGGCAGTCCCATTCATGTCAACTGGGGCAAAAAAGCTGCATGGACACAGCTGCTTAACTTGACATCTGTGTGGGTAAGTGCGCCAAATGCAGACACTGTGCATGTGACTGTGGCAGTACATTAGAGTGTAAGCTCCTCTGGTGCAGAGCTGAATGTGACTGGCTCATTGTTCTCTGTACAGCACTGCGGTATATGTCAGAGCTATATAAATGTATAATAATAGTGTGTGACTGTGGGGGAGGGGACATTAGAGTGTAAGCTCCTCTGGTACAGAGACTGATGGGACTGTGGGGGAGGGGGAGGGGGACATTAGAGTGTAAGCTCCTCTGGTACAGAGACTGATGGGACTGGCTCGGTGTTCTCTGTACAGTGCTGCGGTATATGTCAGAGCTATATAAATGTATAATAATAGAGTGTGAAATGTGGGGGGAGGGGGGGGGGGTTAGAGTGTAAGCTCTTCTTGTAAAAACTGATGTGACTGGCTCAGTGTTCTCTGTACAGCGCTGCAGTATACGTCAGAGCTATATAAATGTATAATAATCATAGTGTGTGACTGTGGGGGAGGGAACATTAGAGTGTAAGCTCCTCTGGTACAGAGACTGATGTGACTGTGGGGGAGGGGACATTAGAGTGTAAGCTCCTCTGGTACAGAGACTGATGTGACTGTGGGGGAGGGGACATTAGAGTGTAAGCTCCTCTGGTACAGAGACTGATGTGACTGTGGGGGAGGGGACATTAGCGTGTAAGCTCCTCTGGTACAGAGACTGATGTGACTGTGGGGGAAGGGACATTAGAGTGTAAGCTCCTCTGGTACAGAGACTGATGTGATTGTGGGGGAGGGGACATTAGCGTGTAAGCTCCTCTGGTACAGAGACTGATGTGACTGTGGGGGAGGGGACATTAGAGTGTAAGCTCCTCTGGTACAGAGACTGATGTGACTGTGGGGGAGGGGACATTCGAGCGTAAGCTCCTCTGGTACAGGGACTGATGGGACCGGCTCGGTGTTCTCTGTACAGCACTGCGGTATATGTCAGAGCTATATAAATGTATTATAATAAATATTGTGTGTGATTGTGGTGGGACATTAAAAGCATAAGCTCCTCTGGTGCAGAGACTGATGTTCCTTGCTCAGCATTCTTTGTACAGCACTGCAGTATAGGTCAGAGCTACAGTATCTCCCAGAAGTGAGTCCCCCCCCCTCACATTTGTGTAAATATTTGATTCTCTCTTTCCATGTGACAACACTGAAGAAATGACAGTTTTCTACAATGTGACGTAGTCAGTGTACAGTTTGTATAACATGTAAATTTGCTGTCCCCTCAAAATAACTCAACACACCGCCATTCTCAGTTCACTCACAGCTCAGTTTCAGGGTCTCGGCAATCTTCTTATAGCCTCGGCCATCTTTCTGTAGAGCAACAATTCTTTTTCTCAGATCCTCAGAGAGTTCTTTGCCATGAGGTGCCATGTTGAACTTCCAGTGACCAGTATGAGAGAGTGAGAGTGATAACACCAAATGTAACCCACCTGCTCCCCATTCACACCTGAGACCTTGTAACACTAACGAGTCACATGACACCGGGGAGCGAAAATGGTTTATTGGGCCCAATTTGGACCTTATCACTTAGGGGTGGAGTCACTTTTGTTGCCGGCGGTTTAGACATTAATGGCGGTGTGTTGAGTTGTTTTTAGGGGACAGCAAATTTCCATGTTATAACAAGCTGTACACTGACTACGTCACATTGTAGCAAAGTGTCATTTCTTCCGTGTTGTCACATGAAAAGACAGAATCAATTATTTACACAAATGTGAGGGGGGGGGACGGGGACGGGGGGGGGACTCACTTCTGGGAGATACTGTGTATGTATATATATATATATATATATATATATATATATATATATATATATATATATATATATATATAATATAAATATAATGTGTAATAATAACAGTGTGTGACTGTGGCGGTACATTAGAGTGTAAGCTCCTCTGTTACAGAGACTGATGTGACTGTGGCGGTACATTAGAGTGTAAGCTCCTCTGTTACAGAGACTGATGCGACTGTGGCGGTACATTAGAGTGTAAGCTCCTCTGTTACAGAGACTGATGCGACTGTGGCGGTACATTAGAGTGTAAGCTCCTCTGTTACAGAGACTGATGCGACTGTGGCGGTACATTAGAGAGTAAGCTCCTCTGTTACAGAGACTGATGCGACTGTGGCGGTACATTAGAGTGCAAGCTCCTCTGTTACAGAGACTGATGCGACTGTGGCGGTACATTAGAGTGTAAGCTCCTCTGTTACAGAGACTGATGTGACTGTGGCGGTACATTAGAGTGTAAGCTCCTCTGTTACAGAGACTGATGCGACTGTGGCGGTACATTAGAGTGTAAGCTCCTCTGTTACAGAGACTGATGTGACTGTGGCGGTACATTAGAGCGTAAGCTCCTGTTACAGAGACTGATGCGACTGTGGCGGTACATTAGAGTGTAAGCTCCTCTGTTACAGAGACTGATGTGACTGTGGCGGTACATTAGAGTGTAAGCTCCTCTGTTACAGAGACTGATGTGACTGTGGCGGTACATTAGAGTGTAAGCTCCTCTGTTACAGAGACTGATGTGACTGTGGCGGTACATTAGAGTGTAAGCTCCTCTGTTACAGAGACTGATGTGACTGTGGCGGTACATTAGAGTGTAAGCTCCTCTGTTACAGAGACTGATGTGACTGTGGCGGTACATTAGAGTGTAAGCTCCTCTGTTACAGAGACTGATGTGACTGTGGCGGTACATTAGAGTGTAAGCTCCTCTGTTACAGAGACTGATGTGACTGTGGCGGTACATTAGAGTGTAAGCTCCTCTGTTACAGAGGACTGATGTGACTGTGGCGGTACATTAGAGTGTAAAGCTCCTCTGTTACAGAGACTGATGTGACTGTGGCGGTACATTAGAGTGTAAGCTCCTCTGTTACAGAGACTGATGTGACTGTGGCGGTACATTAGAGTGTAAGCTCCTCTGTTACAGAGACTGATGTGACTGTGGCGGTACATTAGAGTGTAAGCTCCTCTGTTACAGAGACTGATGTGACTGTGGCGGTACATTAGAGTGTAAGCTCCTCTGTTACAGAGACTGATGTGACTGTGGCGGTACATTAGAGTGTAAAGCTCCTCTGTTACAGAGACTGATGTGACTGTGGCGGTACATTAGAGTGTAAGCTCCTCTGTTACAGAGACTGATGTGACTGTGGCGGTACATTAGAGTGTAAGCTCCTCTGTTACAGAGACTGATGTGACTGTGGCGGTACATTAGAGCGTAAGCTCCTCTGTTACAGAGACTGAAGTGACTGTGGCGGTACATTAGAGCGTAAGCTCCTCTGTTACAGAGACTGAAGTGACTGTGGCGTACATTAGAGCGTAAGCTCCTCTGTTACAGAGACTGAAGTGACTGTGGCGGTACATTAGAGCGTAAGCTCCTCTGTTACAGAGACTGAAGTGACTGTGGCGGTACATTAGAGCGTAAGCTCCTCTGTTACAGAGACTGATGTGACTGTGGCGGTACATTAGAGCGTAAGCTCCTCTGTTACAGAGACTGATGTGACTGTGGCGGTACATTAGAGCGTAAGCTCCTCTGTTACAGAGACTGATGTGACTGTGGCGGTACATTAGAGTGTAAGCTCCTCTGTTACAGAGACTGATGTGACTGTGGCGGTACATTAGAGTGTAAGCTCCTCTGTTACAGAGACTGATGTGACTGTGGCGGTACATTAGAGTGTAAGCTCCTCTGTTACAGAGACTGATGTGACTGTGGCGGTACATTAGAGTGTAAGCTCCTCTGTTACAGAGACTGATGTGACTGTGGCGGTACATTAGAGTGTAAGCTCCTCTGTTACAGAGACTGATGTGAGTGGCGGTACATTAGAGCGTAAGCTCCTCTGTTACAGAGACTGAAGTGACTGTGGCGGTACATTAGAGCGTAAGCTCCTCTGTTACAGAGACTGATGTGACTGTGGCAGTACATTAGAGCGTAAGCTCCTCTGTTACAGAGACTGATGTGACTGTGTCGGTACATTAGAGTGTAAGCTCCTCTGTTACAGAGACTGATGTGACTGTGGCAGTACATTAGAGTGTAAGCTCCTCTGTTACAGAGACTGATGTGACTGGGGGGGAGGGGACATTAGAGTGTAAGCTCCTCTGTTACAGAGACTGATGTGACTGTAGCGGTACATTAGAGCGTAAGCTCCTCTGTTACAGAGACTGATGTGACTGTGGCGGTACATTAGAGCGTAAGCTCCTCTGTTACAGAGACTGATGTGACTGTGGCGGTACATTAGAGTGTAAGCTCCTCTGTTACAGAGACTGATGTGACTGTGGCGGTACATTAGAGTGTAAGCTCCTCTGTTACAGAGACTGATGTGACTGGCTTTATACAACAGTCAGTTCTGTACAACAGATGACACACAGAGTAGGTGGCAGATGATGGGATACGCACCGGCTGTCTCGATCCCACAGCAGGAGGCGGATGTGGTTAATAATAGACGGCTGCCCCAGCTTCACCTGCAGCCCGGATCGGCAGTCGTCTTCTATTGGGTGCCGGGAGAAGCCGTGATCCAGGTCATAGTTCTGAGTGTCCCCATCCAAGAGGGCAGATTTTAGCTCCCCCTTCACCACCTGGGCACCGTACTTCATTGTGGCGATGTTCTCCTCGGGGACTGGGGAGGAAATAGAGGGACCATTAGTACTGACGTTGCTGTAATGACAGACAGATATCATCCGTTGAACACATGCAACCATCTATATGAAAGGAGAGGATTGTGGGCCTCACACATTTTACTTGATTGAAGCCTTTTGAAGCCATATATTTTTTTTTTATGGAACAATGGAGTTTAAAGTGATCGTTCACATTTTCAGAAAAAATGAATAGGTGAACACTGCACCCTCTGCACCCCACCCCCAGACCCTGCTGTACTTCTTTATTTATTATTTATTTCAGGTACTTATATAGCCATGATTTGGCCAAGATTTATGAAGAAAGATTTATTTGAAAAATTTTATAAGAAAAACACTTTTTTTTTTCAAAATGTTTGGACTTTTTCATTTATTTATTTATTTATTTCAGGTACTTATATAGCGCCATCAATATACGCAGCGCTTTACATATATATTGTACATTCACATCAGTCCCTAACCCTCAAGGGGCGTACAATCTAAGGTCCCTAACTCACATTCATACATACAATACTAGGGACAATTTAGACAGGAGCCAATTCACCTCCCAGCATATCTTTGGAGTGTGGGAAGAAACCGGAGTACCCGGAGGAAACCCACGAAGGCACAGGGAGAACATGCAAACTCCAGGCAGGTGGTGCTGTGGTTGGGATTCGAACCCACGACCCGAGTACTGCCAGGAGGAAGTGAAGTGCTAACCATTTAGCCACTGTGCTGCCCACACTTACCTCCCCCATGGGTGGTGTGCTGTCAGTGCTCATGCAGCTGATGTAGTGCTCTGGGGATTTAAGACCTTCTTCCTTTTTCTTACTCTAGGGCTTCCAGGACAGATCAGAATGCTTCTGATTGGTCAATAACAGCACATAACTAATCAGATGCTCTCTGAGCTGGCACAGAAGCCTTGAAGAGGAAGAAGAGTGGGGATTTTACATACCCAGACTACTACACCAGCTGCAGAGGCATGGATGACACCTATGGAGGCAAGTTCAGCAGGGACCGGGGGTGGGGGTAGAAAGAAGTGGCAATGCCAAGAGATGATGAATATAATAATATGTCCTTCTAGATCTCAAACAATGTTATCAACATTCCCTGCTGTCTTCTGCAAACTATACAACCCCTCCTCACTATGATGGGGCACTATTCCCCCCACTGACACCAATGATGGGGCACCATTCCCCCCACTGACACCAATGATGGGGCACCATTCCCCCCACTGACACCAATGATGGGGCACCATTCCCCCCACTGACACCAATGATGGGACACCATTCCCCCACTGACACCAATGATGGGGCACTATTCCTCCCATTGACTCCAATGATGGGGCACTATTTCTCCCACTAACACCAACGATGGGGCACTATTCCCCCCCACCGACATCAATGATGGGGCACTATTCCTCCCACCGACATCAATGATGGGGCACTATTCCTCCCACTAACACCAATGATGGGGCACTATTCCTCCCACTGACACCAATGATGGGGCACTATTCCTCCCACCGACACTAATGACACCAATGGGGGCACTATTCCTCCCACCGACATCAATGATGGGGCACTATTCCTCCCACTAACACCAATGATGGGGCACTATTTCTCCCACTAACACCAACGATGGGGCACTATTTCTCCCACTAACACCAACGATGGGGCACTATTCCCCCCCACTGATAGGACACTATTCCTCCCAGTGACTCCAATGATGAGGCACTATACCTCCCACCAACACCAACGATGGGGCACTATTCCCCTCATTGATACCAATGATGGGGCACTATTCCTCCCACTGACATCAATGATGGGGCACTATTCCTCCCACTGACACCAATGATGGGGCACTATTTTCCCCACTGACACCAATGATGGGGCACTATTCCCCCCACTGACACCAATGATGGGGCACTATTCCTCCCACTGACACCAATGATGGGGCACTATTCCTCCCACTGATACCAATGGTGGGGCACTATTCCTCCCACTGATACCAATGATGGGGCACTATTCCTCCCACTGACACCAATGATGGGACACTATTCCTCCCACTGACACCAATGATGGGCACTATTCCTCCCACTGACACCAATGATGGGGCACTATTCCCCCCACTGACACCAATGATGGGGCACTATTCCCCCCACTGACACCAATGATGGGGCACTATTTCCCCCACTGAGAGGGCACTATTCCTCACGTTGACTCCAAAAGATGGGGCGTTATTCCTCTCATTGACTCCAATGATGGGGCATTATTTCTCCCCCTAATAGATGAAGTAAACAAAGCTGTCTTTGCTGACACCAGGACACTTTCTACTTCCACTGGCAACAGCCCGGCATGCATAAAGCCTAAAAGGACAATAAAATGGCCCTTTGTTTAAAAAATTTGGAGACCCATAGAGATAAGGAGAGGGGGAGGTATTTGTGGTCCAAAATCAGCAGCAAGAAGCCTAGGGTGATAACTTTGGTCCTTCTTAGCTCCAGTACAGTGAATGTTGTCACCATAGGTCAGGAAGTATGTTACTGGCAGGATCACCAGGGTAAAATAAAGAAAAAATGCCAGAAGAAAAAAGAAAAAAAAAAAAACCCACTAATGCAGCCACAACATCAAATGACTGGTAAGCTGCTATATCTGACATTTTTGTTCTTGGGTTTAGATCCTCTTTAAATAAAACATTCAGGAGAGACAGGCTGAAACTCTCTGGCAGCTCCAGGATCCGCCCCTAATGCCTAATGCGGTTTTTATGTGTATAGGCGGGGTTTAGCGTGTTGACCAAGTAGGGATGTTGTAGCAGTCGGTGGGGCCAGGCATGAAAGGTGTAGAGGCCGGGCCCTATTAGATAAAGCTTTCGATATTTTGATTAAAGAATAAATGCCTTACTTAGCATGCCACGGTAGTTGAGGTCCATGTCGCGGCTCTCGGAGCGCACTTTAATGGCATCCAGGATGGCATCTGGGGAGAGCAGTGCGGACGGTCTCACCACATTGAGCAGTTCGGTCAGGCTCATAAGCGGGAGGCGAACGGCGGCCATGATCTCGGTGTGGTTTTCATTGGGGTTGTGCCGGCACCAACGCATCAGGGCCTGAAAGATATCTTTCTCTGGAGCAGCGAATGAATCCCTCTGAACGATATCCAGGAGGGCACCCTGCCGACACAATGGGGACAGTCAACAGAAAGCACCATCTCAAAGCCATAACACAGGTCATTCTCACCAATCGCAAAAGCAGTGATGTCTCAAATATAAAATAAAATAAAAACAGTCGGTCTACTGAGGGATCTGATGGATGCCCTGATCTCCCTTTGTAATTTGGAAATCCTCAAATACTACAGGAACTGATCTCCCACAGAACCCATGCTGGACACTGGAGATGGATAAAGTCATATCAAGAGAGGAACGCAACCAAAAATGGTTGGGTGGCCTGTGGACACCCCTTTCCTGCTTGGCTCTCGTTCTCTCCAATAGGCTCTCTTCCCACCCTTTTCCATTTCATACCCCTCCATCTTCCAACTCCAGTAAGCCATATTTATGTGGCAGGCTGAAGAAGTTGAAAAGAACTTCCTATCACTCCTCTCTCAGGCTGCTCCCCTTTGCCATGTAGATGTAGTCTATCAGCATGGAGAAGGCCTCCACTATCTTAAATTGTTCTTTTGCTGGAAATTGGAGGTCTCTGGAGCCATCTGGTTGCAATGGATCGCATGTAACTCAAAAGTAGAACTTAACCAATAATGGTTGGACACCAGTTGGGTGGCCTATGGATATCCTCTTCCTCCATGGCTTTTCTCCTCTCTATTAATCTCTCTCCCCACCCTTTTCCATTTCATAACCCTCCATCTTCAAGCTCCAGGAATCCGTATTTATGTGGCAGGCTAAAGGAAGTTGAAAAGAACTTAAGGAGGCATCCACCATCATGTCCTATTCCTTTGCTGGAAACTGGAGGTCTCTAAACCTTCCTGTTTGCAATGGACCACATACAACTCAAGGGTATAACTCAACCAGTAATAGGCCCCAGTTGGGTGGCCTGTGGACACCCCCTTCCTCCTTGGCTCTCCTTCTCCTGTCTACTAATCTCACTCCCCACCCTTTTCCACTTGATACACTTATGTCTTTCAGATAATTAAGTCATAACGCCCGATAATGACAAATAATTGGGTTATTGTCAGCTTTCTGAGCCAAGACAAAAGTATTGCGCATTCTGTATAAACTTCATACCAATGTTCAACCCAACCATTATCTAGCTCAATGACATCATACTGTATTTTGTCTTTTTTTGGAAACAATATTAAACAATTATAAAAAAAAAATATAAACTCAGGAGTAGATAGAACAGGAATCTGTTGCAATGGAAAGACCAAGAAAGTCCTGTGATCTCACCAACGATTGTGAAAAACCGCGGCATACCATGCTGTACCTTGGACACTAAGAAGGGCAGTGTGGGATATGACCAATAGCACACCGTTCCTTGAAAAGTGAGAGGGGGATTGTGGTATATGACTGCTGGTGCACTGTACTTTGAGCAGTGAGAAGAGGATTATGGGATATGGATTAGTGGCACACTGTACCTTGGACAGCGGGAGGGGGATGAGAATAGAGAAGGGGATTCTGGGATACAGTGGGTGGCACAGCATACATTGGACAGCGAGAGGGGGGGTGGGAATAGAGCACATTCTGGGATACAATGGGTGGTGCACCATACCATTAGATACTGACAGAGAGATGGGGATAAAGAAGAGGGATTATGGGATAGGACCAGTGGCGCACTGTACCTTGGAAAGTGAGTAAAAGATTGTAGGATATGACCAGTGACGCACCGTACCTTGGACAGCGAGTGGATTATGGATATGACCAGTGGAGCATCGTACCTTGGACAGCGAGTGGATTATGGGATATGACCAGTGGTGCACCGTACACTGGACGAGTGGAGGATTGTAGGATATGACCAGTGGTGTGGTGCACCACAACTTGGACAGGGAGAGGAAGCCATCACTGGGCAGGACCGTACCTTGGACAGCGAGTGGAGGATTATGGGATATGATCAGTGGCGCACCGTACCTTGGACAGCGAGTGGAGGATTATGGTATATGACCAGTGGCGCAACGTACCCTGGACAGTGAGTGGAGGATTGTAGGATATGACCAGTGACGCACCGTACCTTGGACAGCGAGTGGAGGATTGTAGGATATGACCAGCGGCGCACCGTACCTTGGACAGCGAGTGGATTATGGGATATGACCAGTGACGCACCGTACATTGGACGAGTGGAGGATTGTAGGATAAGACCAGTGGCGCACCGTACCTTGAAACAGCGAGTGGAGGATTGTAGGATATGAACAATGGTGTGGTGCACCTTGGACAGGAGAGGAAGCCATCACTGGGCAGGACCGTACCTTGGACAGCGAGTGGAGGATTATGGGATATGACCAGTGGCGCACCGTACCTTGGAAAGTGAGTGGAGAATTGTAGGATATGACCAGTGGCGCACCGTACCTTGGACAGCAAGTGGAGGATTATGGGATATGACCAGTGGCGCACCGTACCATGGACAGCAAGTGGAGTGGAGGATTGTAAGATATGACCAGTGGCACACCATACCTTGGAAAGTGAGTGAAGGATTGTAGGATATGACCAGTGGCGCACCGTACCTTGGACAGCGAGTAGAGGATTATGGGATATGACCAGTGGCACACCATACCTTGGACAGGGAGAGGAAGCCATCACTGGATAGGACGTCCTGTGCGCTGCGGTCCATGAACAGACAGCAGGTGGAGCTGAGTTTGCCCAGGGAGTACAGACTGGCCACATCGTAGATCATGCAGACATTCTGGATCTTCAGGATGGTACACAGGTACTCCGAGGTGGAGTCTTCCAGCTCCGGGAAGCCATATTTATGTGCCAAGCTGAGGAAATCGAGCAGAACTTCCTCCCGCTCCTCTCTCAGGCTGGCTCGGCCCGTGTAGATGTATTTTATCAGCATTGAGAAGGCCTCTGCCGTCGTGTCCTGCAAGAAGATCTCCGCTTGGGGCTGGGACTCCCGCATACCTCCGTATAACAACGCTCTGCAGAGAATCAATACATACAGGAAATATATAAGATTGACATATACCTCAGTATAACATTGCACCGCAGAGAACCAACATATAGCCAGATAGGGCACGCCTCATTTTTTGGCTGGAGAACATCAAGCATTTCAATCATGGAGGCTCAGTATCTCACATGGGTGCTTTGCAATGCGTCTGCACTGCAAGGGCTAACTGTCATTTTTTCTTGGAGGAGAGGAAAAACCGGTTTTACTTTTCTAATCCTCTTCTCCCCCTGTAGGCAGCACTCCCCAACGATCTAGCAGTGGACTGTCCTTCGGCATCCTCATGTCCAGAGCAAGGCTATGGACCCTGCATTGGTCTTGAGAACGTCCAGCCCCTAGACTGGTGGGGGTACAGATTCTGCAGGGAGAACTGTAGGATCAGGCAAGTAGATATTTGTTCCCCTAGACCAGGGGTAGGCAACCTGCGGCTCTCCAGCTGTTGCAGGACTACAAGTTCCATCATGCCTCTGCAAGTCATAGCTGTAGCTGTCAGTTTTGTAATGTTGCAATGCCTCATGGGAAATGTAGTTCCACAACAGCTAGAGAGCCGCGGGTTGCTTACCCCTGCCCTAGACAAAAACGAGCAGCTAACCCTTGCACTGCCGGCGCAGCCCAACTCCAAGAGAAGTTTTTGCCTGGAGTTGAGCTTTTAAGAACACCTTAATAGTTTAATTTGGTTCAAAGCTCAAGGCTTTTTTTTTTTTTTGACTTTGATGTAGCCAGTTTTACAACCAGTTTCCCCTATACCACCCCCCCAATACTTACCTGAGCCCAATCTCGATTCAGAGATGTGCATGTGAGCCTCGGCTCCCCCGGGTCTCTCTCTTCTCACTGGCTTAAATACAGCAGTGGCAGACATTGGCTCCCACTGCTGTCAATCTCAACCAAGGAGCCAATGAGGAGAGAGCAGGAGCTTGGGCTGAGAGGCGCTCTCTGTGTGAATGGACACACGGAGCGAACCTACACAAGTGTGCTCCCATAGCATGCTGCTTGCTATGGGGGGGTGCCAGCGGGGGACCCTAAAAGAAGATTGGGGCTGCTCTTTGTAATTGTTTTGTATAACATGTTTGCAAAGGAAATAAATTGTTAAAAAAAATATTAATCACTTTAATGCCTATAGTCTGGGCAGAGGTCTATATCTCTATAAATATATGTGACGGGGGTGACTTTGGGTGGGGGGGCCCATGAAACACAGCTCACTTTGGGTGGGGGGCCCATGGAACACAGCTCACTTTGGGTGGGGGGGGGCCCATGGAACACAGCTCACTTTGGGTGGGGGGGGGCCCATGGAACACAGCTCACTTTGGGTGGGGGGGCCCATGGAACACAGCTCACTTTGGGTGGGGGGGGCCATGAAACACAGCTCACTTTGGGTGGGGGGGGGCCCATGGAACACAGCTCACTTTGGGTTTGGAGAGGGTGGGGGGCCCAGGAACCCTCACTTTGTCCCGTCAGCTCCCCATATCCCTCTTATGTGTAAGTCACCCTGTGCCTGTTAGGGGTACAGGGTGAAATGTACTAATATTGTGTAGACATGTCTAAGGAGATAGTTGGGGGTTGGTCATTGTTTAATGCCATGTGTTTTTTTTTCCCATTGTTCTATTGTGTGTCTTGCTTGGGAGCAAACTATTATGGTATGTATGTGTTTGTGTATTGGCTTGGTGGGGGGTGTTTCCGGCAGCCCTTCCCCCTGATGGGACTGTCTGCTGATGTGTTTCTTGTTGCTAGATTTGGTTTGCCCCGCCCTGTGTCCTTATGCAGGGAGGAGGGGGGGGGGGGTTGTTCCCTTGAATGTATATATCTTGTATCTGTGTTAAAATAAAGCAGTCTATTTCCTGGTTTCCTTCAAGACTGGTGGTGTCTTGTCTTGTATGGTCAGCGGTGGTGTTCGTGGACCTGTGTTCGGGCGGGGAAGCGGGAGTCAAACGGAAATACCCTAGTGCAGTCGGGGTCCAGTTCCGTCACAATATAGAACAATGCTCCATAGGTGATAGAAAAGACAAAAGTTTACCTAAACATTACATTTTATATAGATTTTGAGAAGATAGCTAGGATAAAAAGCATACACAAGTAATGGCTCAAGCAAGCCCTCTGCTGCCGTTAGTAAAAATAAAATGAGCGCGCTGTACACCGATACTATCCTGGCACAATAAATAAAAATGAACCATAATAAACTCACATGAATACATGTGTACAAAAAACAACATATAAAGTGCTGTAAATCAATGTCCATAACATGAAAATACATAACAAGTCCCAAATCTAATGTGAAGGAAAGCAAAGTGCTGCATGCTGAATATAACTTCCAACAAGGTGATATGGTGTTCACAAGTGCTCGCCACACCACACAGATCAGCCTCTTACCAGACCAAATTTGATCTCAAATCAAGAGATCAAATGAGCGGACGGTGTCCCGGTTCCACACCGACACCCGTGCTATCAATATCAAAGGAGATGGATGAGCAGCTGCGGACTCACCTGGACAGATTCCTCACACTAAACCTCATTCCGTAGAGTGTAGAGAAGGGTTCAAACAGAAGAGACTTCATAGCGCAACCCAATAAAAGGAAAAGATTTATTTAGCCACTTCCCGTCCGACCCATGTATATAAACGGCCGGACGGGGGCAGTGCAGGAGCGGGTTGCCATTCATAAACCCTGGGAACGCGAGGCACCGCGATCCAGTGCCCACTGTGTCCGGAGGCCACAGCGGAACACCGATCGCTGTACGGGACCTCTGTGCGAGGTCCCGATCATGTGATCACTAATTGGCCAATCAGTGATCACATGCAGAGTAGTAAGCAAGATGTCAATTCTCACATCATTGCTTACTACTAGTAAAATCTGTGAATGATCACAGAGATCATGTGGTACAGGACTATTCATAACAGCCTTGTACCATGTGACAAGCTGTGACCAATCACAGCTCTCACAGTATTTCTCGGAGAGAAGGAGAAATAATTGCTTTTACAGCCTTTATGGGTGTAAAAAGAAAAAAATATATATATCATCACCCCCCACAAGTGGTAGTGTCACTATGGTGACCTGTACTGCTATACTGCTAGGGTGACAGTATGTTAAAAAAAAAAAAAAAAACAACAACACAACAACAGATAATATCAAAAAATAGAAATGTAAAAGAATTTTTTGAAAAATTATAATTTTTGGTTATAAACTAATTAGTTTTTTTGTTTTTTACTAAAAACAATAGCTGAATACATTTTGGCCAAGATTTATGAAGAAAGATTATTTATTTGCAAAATTTTAGAAAAAAAACCCACTTTTTTTTCAAAATTTTTTGACTTTTTCATTTATATAGCAAAAAAAAAAAAAATCCCAGCGGTGAATAAATACCACCAAAATAAAGATTTATCTGTCTCAAAAAAATACTAAAAAATGTATATTTGTACAGTGTTGCATGACCGCGCAATTGTCATTCAAAGTGTGACAGCGCTGAAAGCTGAAAATTGGCCCGGAGAGGAAGGGGGTGAAAGTGTCCGGACTGGAAGGGGGGGGGGGGAAAGTGTCCGGACTGGAAGGGGGGGAAAGTGTCCGGACTGGAAGGGGGGGGGGAAGGGGGGGAAAGTGTCCGGACTGGAAGGGGGGGAAAGTGTCCGGACTGGAAGGGGGGGGAAAGTGTCCGGACTGGAAGGGGGGGAAAGTGTCCGGACTGGAAGGGGGGGGGGAAGTGTCCGGACTGGAAGGGGGGGGGGAAAGTGTCCGGACTGGAAGGGGGGGAAAGTGTCCGGACTGGAAGGGGGGGAAAGTGTCCGGACTGGAAGGGGGGGAAAGTGTCCGGACTGGAAGGGGGGGAAAGTGTCCGGACTGGAAGGGGGGGAAAGTGTCCGGACTGGAAGGGGGGGAAAGTGTCCGGACTGGAAGGGGGGGAAAGTGTCCGGACTGGAAGGGGGGGAAAGTGTCCGGACTGGAAGGGGGGGAAAGTGTCCGGACTGGAAGGGGGGGAAAGTGTCCGGACTGGAAGGGGGGGGAAAGTGTCCGGACTGGAAGGGGGGAAAGTGTCCGGACTGGAAGGGGGGGGTAGAAAGTGTCCGGACTGGAAGGGGGGGAAAGTGTCCGGACTGGAAGGGGGGGGAAAGCGTCCGGACTGGAAGGGGGGGAAAGTGTCCGGACTGGAAGGGGGGGGGGGGGGGGGGGGGTGTCCGGACTGGAAGGGGGGGGGGGGGGGGGGGGGGGGGAAGTGTGTCCGGACTGGAAGTGGTTAATAAACCATGGCACTCACATAGATAAGGTGCATAAAAGGCAATATACAGATTCAAATAAGCCGTGGTGTCATTCCGCCGGCCGGAACATGGTGAAGTCATAGAAGACTCCGCCCGACGCGTTTCTCCAAAACTGGCGTCCTCTTGGGTTGAAGATCAACCTCTGTTAGTCAGTGCCGGGTGCAATTTGTGAATTGAAAACACACCTGAAATCGCATCGAATGAATGTGAATGTCTTAACACGTGCGAATTGCTGCAGCGAGATTTCTAAAGTAGTTAATGCATGACTTTTTCTGCAGTTTTGTAGCGATTTCACGTAAGTAGAACATAATGAAGATCGCACTGCAAATTGCAAGAAATCGATAAAAATCGTCACAAGTAGCAATAAAGTCTTCGGAAATCGCACCTGAGATTGGCTGAAATTGCACACAAATCGCACTATTTTAAAAAAGCAGCGGTGTGACCGGTAACCTAGATACAGTGAAGGAAATGCGTATTTGCTCCCCGGCTGATGCTGAATGTTCGCCCCTCACACAGAAATGATCGGTCTAACAATGCAATGTTCGGTGTAACACTGAGAGACAGAATACAACAACAAATTCAGCAGAAATGCGTTCTAACAAATGATGACTGATCTGCATGTTCATGAGGGAAAGAAGGATTTGATCCCCTATCATTCAGCAGGATTTCTGGCTCCCAGGTGTCTCTCATACAGGTAACAAGCAAGCTGAGATTAGAAGCAGTCTCTTAAAGGG